TCTCCAAATAAGCCTTTTCCTGGACCAACACTTACCACCATTACTGACCAATAACACCGCAGCTGAAAGTGGAACTTGAAAAAAAAAATCTGTGTGAATTTTTTTTTTTAACTAAACAAAATTAAATTCTTGCAGTCAAAATTCCTTCTGAGGCTGAGCCTCGAGTAACCTGAATAATTCTCTAAGGCCATGTTATCAAGACAATTAAAAATAAAATGTTGACTGCCTTCTTGACTGAACTGGTAGATCTTTTATTGATTCAAAGCACGACTAAGATACAAACGTTATTTTACATTCTTGACAGAATCCATTCCATGTGACCACAAGGAGCTTAACTTGCTTTCCCTGCACGTTTTTTCTCTCTCAGTCCCCTTATGCCTCAATATAAATATTATCACGAAGCCTCCGCTGTTAGACTTGATTGTCGAAATTTAAAAGACAGTGATAGTGTGCTGAGTTGAGCAACCTGGAAGTTTATACAGGCAGAAATGAGTCTGCCGATAAACTGTGGAATGTGCTTAAAAATAGAAATTCAAATTGCAAGTGCCTCTCTGGAGCTTCTTGGGGAAAAGCATCCTTTTGGGATAATATGAATCACTATCCAGCGGTTCAAATGACATCACAGGATGGAGGAGTCTGCGTGGTTTTCAATATGTTAGGCACGTATTCCAAGGCTAAATATTAGCCTTTATTATTGGAGGTGGAGAAAGCCTATGTACTTCATAAAAGCAAATTTAATATCAGAAGTTGACAGCCTCCGTTTGTGCAGCTGGCTTTCCTGCACTCTGACTTTTAAAACTGATTATTTTGATTATTTTCAAAGTCTCAATAAGAATGTAAAACATATTGTAGCCAGCACATTTCTTTTAATTTTTAAATTCATGCATATTATCAGAGAAATGAAATCCACATGCTTATAAAAATCCATTTACACTTTGCACTTCAGAATGTGTGACAGAGTCTTTTCATAAATCTTTTAATGTCTTTGTTTACTTTTGCAAGCATCCGGTTTGTGAGAATAAACTCCAGATAATTTGGAATCAGAACCCAGCTGCCATATTCAATTAGCATGCACCCTTCACAGACGACCGATAGGGCTGCAGACATCTGGAACGAACTCGTGGACGCTCTCTAGAACTAAGGCCTGACGAATGCGTGTGAAGTTAAGTAAGAAGACCTGACGAATGCGTGTGAATGTTCTGTAACAGTAAATTCTACTGCTACCTTTTAAGTCAGCTTTTGTCACTAAGTTGATGTGTGTGCCTTGGAAGGCTTTGAGAATCTGTGCATTTCCTCCAGTTAAAGTTCAGCAATATATGAAGATCTACATTTCAAATTTCAAATGGACACTTCAGGGGAACAGGACCTTTCCTATTTCAATGACTGTAAAAATCTGATAGAATCTTTCAAAGGGGAAAGATTTGAAATGTAACTCTTCCTGAAGATGATGAATCAAAGATTTTTGTGCTATCACATGGTGCCTCCAGGAGCAGCTGGGGTTACGTACCTTTGCCTTAACAAAAGTCATTTACTCATCAAAGAGACACAAACTGAAGGCCAACATGGCTGCCCATAATCATTGCACTAAAGTCGGCAGCAGATGCAACAGGCTTTTCAGCCCCCTTGAGGTGAACGCATTTTCCAAGGAGGACAAGTTCTCTGCCACCAGTTCTGGGTCTGTGGACATGACACAAAGCACAGTCATATAAAATTGATCTAAGTGGACTTGCTACACAAATTCTACTTCAGTGCAGTAACGGCAGCTACCTGCTGGCTGTTATTCCTCAGGTCTAGCCATGAAATCATCAAGTAGTCTTCAGGCCTTGGCGAATGTCCCAGAGCCATCAGATTTGATTAGTAGCTGACGGTGGCTCTTCCCTCTGATGCTGTCGAGTGCTCCAGTTAATTCAGAGACTAGCATTAGCAGTCTTGATGGACTCTGGATCACTAACAGATCTAATATATAGTCAAGGCCAGGTGTGGTGGCTTAGGCCTGTAATCCCAACACTTTGGGAGGCCGAGGTCAAGGTGGGAAGATGGCTTAAGCCTAGGAGTTCAAAACCAGCCTGGGCAACACAGCAAGACTCCATCTCTACAAAAAATTAAAAATAGAAATTAAAACATAGCCAGGGGGTGCACAGCTATAGTCTTAGCTACTCAGGAGGTTGAGGTGGGAGGATCACCTGAGAATAGGAGTTTAAGGCTACAATGGACTGTGATCACACTACAGTACTCCAGCCTGGGTGACAGGGTGAGATTCTGTCTCAAAAGAGCCATTTAAAATGCACACACACATACACACACACATTTATGAAATAGCCAATGTGGTCTGCAAGGTTAGAACATGATTTACTTGACCATAAAATGTTGATGCACAAAGAAAATCAGAAAACAGCAACAATGACAACAGCACTAATCATAACTGACTGTAACCCCAAGCAAGGCTCTACTCTTCATATACATATCACATTTAATTTCACAACAGCCCTGGGGAGGGAGGTATAACTTCCATTAAACGGATGAGGAAACTAAGGCTGGAAGGTTTTGCCTAAACTTACCCAAAACAACACAAGTGATAAGTGGCAAAACTGAGACTTTGAACCCAGATAGCTCCGCCAACTTTTAGCTACACTTCCTCCATGTTTTCCTAAACTGCTTCTTGCATAAAGATGTTCCACCGCTGCTATTCTGAGTTAAATATGTGCAAAGACCACACTACAGACGGTAAGAGAGGCTCCTTCTTTTAAATCTAAGAAATAAATTATCATTGCCTCACCCATGGTTATCTTTCTGGATTTTATCCTAAAATAAGTACAGAATGGGAAGATAATCATCTTCTTTGCCATTTATTGCCTCTGTAATATGTTGGTCCTTACAAAGAAATATTGTAGTGTGACTTTAAATAATTAAACATTTCCAAAGATCACCAAATGTAGACAAGTTGCCTAAAATGCAAGACAAACTCAAGTTAACCAAAAAGATTAAAATTTCACAAATACAAATGAAATTGATTTCATTTCCCAAAAATATCAGTTTAGATTGGGTTGCTTTTGTTTTGTTTTGAGACAGAGTGTTACTCTGTTACCCAGGCTGGAGTGCACTGCTCACTGCGGCCTTTCTCTCCTGGACTCTCAAGGGACCCTCTTGCCTCAGCTTCCCAAGTAGCCGGAACCATGGGCATGCACACCACATCCAGCTAATTTTATTTTTTGGGAGCGATGGGATCTTGCTACATGGCCCAGAGTGGTCTCAAACTCCTGGGCTCAAGCAATCCTTCCTCCTCAGCCTCCCAAAGTGCTGAAATTACAGCCCTCATCCACTGTGCCTGGCTAGTTGCTTTTAAAATTCACATTTGTTTATTTTAAATTCAAAGACTTGAATATGTATCGATATTACAAAGTTGGAAGTGAAACTTATTTTCAAGGTGTTATTGATGTTTAAGCCAACTTGTTTGCTAAGTTTGCCAAGTGGATGAGCCTAGAGCGTCCATTTTTTATCACATGTGGAGGCATCTGGCTCACAACAATAATAATAACAACAACAAGGCCCTTCTTTTGTAAGGAGACGTTCACAACAAGAAAGCTGCCACTTAGGACAGATCTTGTACGTTGTGTGATCTTCATGCTTGACTTGATCTCTTGGAGCAATCTGTGCTCCCCCTGGTGGCCAGAATAATACTTTCGGCTTCCCAGTTCGAGCTAATCATATTACAACTTGTTTGCCAAAGGAACATTTCATGTTTTGTGTTTCCAAGTTTCAGCCTCCAATTCAACTTTTTGAAAAGCCAATTTCCCTCAACTCATTTAAATATCTTGCTTCCTTTTCATCCAAGAGATTGTTGTTAAATCAAAACCATCCAGTAATTTTTGTTGTGTTGTTGTTTGGGGCAAAATAAGATCTTATAAAGCTAAAACCACATCCACAGATGACTGGAAGAAACCCTGAAAGTTAAAACTGTGATGTCTATATAAGAAATGACACTGGAGATAATCCATCAAGTCGGTATATTTCACTAGAGAAAAAGGAAATAAGATGTTACAGGATGGAAATGTAATTTAATAGCTGAATGAATACTTGATCTGCCTATTTCATCCTTAAGAAGAAAAAGGAGAGTGGAGGCAACCCAGGTGGTTGCATTGTAATGTAGTCAAAATTCCATCACCCATGAAAACTGCAATTGGGATTCCACTTTTGGATTTGGCCAGTCGGAAACAGATGTGTGTTCCAACAAGAATCACAGGCTGCATCTCCCGGACAAGAGCCCTTTAGAGTGCAGCAGGAGTTTCAACTGGTTTAAACTCTGAAGAAAGGACTAGACTAAACTGACTATAATTGTTCCAAGGGTTTAGAATTCCCAAGTTGGGGCTGTGTGGTTCTCATTTTATGGCCTTGAAAAAGAAGACAGTGTGAGTCTTCCTTGTTCTGTCAAAAAGAAAAAAAAAATGCAAGAACAGAAATAAAAAATTAAGGTTTTTATTTTAAGGTTGAGATACAAAGGTTTGGCTAGAAATATCTCAGCTATAGGACATTCTTCAGTGAGTAAGGCTGTGGTTCAGACGGCAAGGTCAAGGTGAAGACCAAATACCACTTTGTGCATAATTCTTGATCATTAAAAGAAGGGACTCAAATGTTTCTCATTATATAGCCTGTCTGGATGCACCAGCCTTTCAACTGATTTCCTCCGGCATGGTCTGGCAAGATTCTAAATTCATATCATCCAGCATTACATGGGGCAGGTAGAGTTTCTTTTGAACAAAAACCCAGACCAGTGTAATCCTAGCTAGGGAAGCTGACGCCAGGAAATCTACAGTGTGCTTTACCCAGACCACAGTTCAATTAAATGAATCCCATTCTCCTTACCAGGAGTCAAGAAACACACAAATGAGGAAAATATGGTTGTCAGTGAGTGGGTTCCACTCATCAGGAGGTTAAGACCACTTAGATTTTAGTAAAATGCATTTGGGATAAGTGAAAAAAAAAAATACTTGTGCCAATATTGGAAATTTAAACTTTATTTGTAGCCCATATTTCTTCATACAAGGTTTTCCCTCACCCCTTTGCCTCCCTGTGTCTTTCCTGGCCCAGAGACTGACTCCCTTCAAAGCAGAGGAAAACAGCCTTCCCTTCACACCTTCCAATGCCCTTCAGTGATCTGTAGAACAACTCGGGGTATATTCAAGTAGGGCAAAGCTTCATGGCTCTTGTCCCTCAATCCTCCTTTCCTTTTGTTTGTTTTCCTTACTCCTTGCCAAAAAAGCAGTTACCTTTGGCAGGGAAGTTATTGCAATCCATTGCAAGTACTTCCTCCAATAATGAACACACAAAATCCCGTCTTTATTCATTTAAATCACGAAGCTGGCCCTCTTTACAAACACCCTGCTGTTAATAAATCTTTGGTGATAGACATCCATTCAAGTGCGCAAAGTGAGTACACTGGAGCTGAAGCTGGTGGTACAGAAAGAGCGAATCTTCAGCCGCTGTCTGTGTATGTGCACAGCACAACTCGTTAGCCTGCACTTTTAAATAACACCTGGACAGAAACAGATATTTTCCAGCATGCATTTTTTCCTAAAAAGATTCACAAAAGGCTGTAACAGCGTTCACCATTAAGAAAAAACATGAAAGTAGAAAGAGCTTTCACTTTTCCTTTTAATATTTCCGGACTGCTTGAGTTTTTTAGTGATACACATGTATTATTTCCATTCTTTCAGAAAGTCCAAGGGCCATATGAGTGATTATGTTTTTATTTTCTTTGGGGTATATCTCTGTGTTTTTCTTTCTAAAATCTTATTCTTCAATTTTAAAAAAAAAGGCTTTAGGGAGTGATCGTTTCTCAAATTATTCTACCCGACGTGGTGCTGTATAATTTTATTATGAGCTCACAATGCCTCCACAGATCCATGTCAATAAAAAGCAAAAGTGCAATATTGCAATGGGATATTTTGGAAAATATTTAAATTCTGGGGCTCCCACCAACCTTACAAGTGAGTCCTCTAACTTTTGTTAACAGATAAGAAAATAGCCTCCAGAGAAGTAAAGCCACACCAGTGCCAGTCTTCCTACAGGCCAGGTCACTGCGGGCAAGACTGCACTGAAGGCTACATTTCATAGACAGGCTCAGAGACGGTCCAGTCCCCTGTCACATACGGTGGATCAGGGGTTTAAGCCAAGTTCACTGAGATTTTCCATGACCCACAGCCTCAAGAGAGAGGGTATGTTCCTCCATATCTCATATGAAATGCCAGACCCTGCTGGGTCTGGGACGAAGGCTGCCTATGCTCTGTGAATGCTCACCCAGAGCCCAGGAACACAAAGACCCACCTCCAGCCAGAGGATATGGGGAACAAAAGGAGGCAGATTTGAAAAATGCCTCCCTTTGCAGGTGGCACTTAAAACACAAGTGCTTTGCATCCATCCTGAAATACATTTCCCAGCTCTTCTCCCCCATAACCCTGATCAGCTCAAACACAGAAGTGGGCCATGGCAGGGAAATGGGGATGGTGACAACTCAAAGGTAGTTGTTGTACAGCTTCTTCTCATTCCGTCAGAAAGGGATACGATGACTTCATCCTGGCCTGGACAAGCCAGTCCTTCTCCAGGAAGCGCAAGTGGGTGCATAAAAATTCTCTCCAGGATGTCACAACTGAGCATCCAAGCACATGGAGACAGGCTGAGAGGACGGGGGACGTGGGAACATGCTTCTTTGTCATGCTTTTTTTCTATTACCAGTATGACATGCTCTTGTGTAGATTGTGCTGCCCTGAAGGCTGAGGACTTCAGTCTCAAAGTCTGAGTCTCAATCCTGCCTCTCTGATGAGATGCTGTCACTCAGTTTCCAAGCACAAGCCCTCTAATCCGTACCTCGTTATGTGGTCCAGAGAAAATTAATCAACTCTTTAGCCATCACTAGCACTATCTACAAAAATGAAACTTTTTTTAAAAAGACAAGAGACTGAATCTGAGAAGAAGGGACTTTCTAGGAAAAAAGAAAGCACTGTTTTACGACTGGTACCTTCAACAGGTACTATCAGAAACGGATGAAAAAAATAACCAGTTTACCACTGGTCCCCTAGGTGGGGGCAGGGCATGCACTAAGTGGCTAGCTCCACTCACAAGCAGCAACTTCAATTCAAAAATCTCTTCCATCTGTTTTTAGAAAGTCAAACAGATTTGTACCCTGGGATTGTTTCCTTAGCTTTTAGAATACTAGAAACGTTCTGAATGAATACTCCATTCTGCCTCATTGCCTTTTGCCCATTTTTCTCTTTTCAGAATTAACTGCATTTTAGGATGATTTCTGCACATTGCCTCTCCAGCTCAGTTTCTCCGAGCTCACCTGGCATTTCCTGGTTCACTAACAAGTCCATCCCTTGTGAGGGGAGAAGGGGCTGCCCACCCCATTGGCAAATGCCTTCCCCATTCACTTCCATTTAGCTTTCTCTCCTACTTCTTGACCAACCTGGAATGCAGGTGCTCACGGGGAAACCAAAAGAATGATTTCCCTTGAGAATGTTCATCCTGGGACCTCAGGGGAGAGAGCAGCTTCGGCGTGCGAACTCAACACTGCACTCAGAAACAGACTTGCTCAGCTCACCACACGCCTTCCAGACACTTTCCTTTATTCAGAGGCAGCCACCTTTAACAGGCCATGTCAGACTCGCCATGGATATTGCTATGACTACGGAATTGCTCTATGTACAGGATCCCACCACCAGCTCGCCTGGAAATTGGAAGCAGTTAACAGCTCTTGCAGCTGGCTCTAGAAGATTGTGTGTGTGTGTGTGTGTGTGTGTGTGTGTGTGTGTGTGTGTGTTTAACCCTCATCCCTTGCAAACCAGAAGTCCAAATGAACCTCTGTACCTGGAAGCAGTTTGTGGTTTAAATTAACAAATGTGCTGACCCCTGAACACCAAAAACAGTGCTGATGCGTTTACCACTTGTGGGATTCCCTTGCAAGTGTTGCCAGTGGGGGGGTGGGAGGAGACACCTGCAGGACACCACAGAAAACACCAACAGCCCCGGTGCCCCCTACTCCTACCCCAGTCTTCTTTGGGGTGATATCATCTCAGAAGGGAAGAGAAGCCGGCGGCCACAGGGCTGTGAGGAAACAGATTTCCAAACAATAAGCTGCCGGGAGTGAGGAGAGGGGACGGTTCATGGAGGGTTTTTTAGGGTTTGTTATTACAAATATATATATAAAGGCTGTGGCTTTTCTGTCCACTTGCTAGGTTTGAGCTCCCCTCAATTAGAGCTGGGGGTTGCTCAGAGGAGTGAGGGCTATGACGTCCCAGGTGCCGTAGAAGGGACTGTCACCGAGGTGGCACTAGGGCTCTTGGGGAAGCAGTGAAAACAAAGGGAACTAGGGCGGTTAACTGGGGCTCCCCAGAGAAAAAAGAGAGAGAGAGAGAGAGAGAGAGAGAGAGAGAGAGAGAGAGAGAGAGAGAGAGAGAGAGAACACGACGGGGATGGACCAGGAAAAAGGGGCTGAGAGCCTGTAGAGGGGAAGACAGAGGATAAGGCGAAGGCGGGAGGAGTGGGGAGCGGGACTGGAGCGGAGGCCGAAGGAAGGAAAAGAGAGTGGAAGGGCTGAGGGAGCGACAGAAGGTCGAGAAAGGCCGGGTGGAAGGGAGGGAGGAAGGAAAAGAGAAAGAGAAGGGAAGGAAAGAGGGACGAAGGCGAGACCGAGACGGACCGGAGAGAGACAAAAAAGAGACTTGAGGCTGGCAGAGCAAGGACTGTGAGGAGGCTGCGACAGTCTAAAGTCAAAGTTCAGCGAAGCCTAAAAACCCAGGCCAATAAAGGGAGTGTGCTGGGTCCTGCCAGAGGCAGGGCTGGGCCTGGGGGCTGGCGAGGCGGCCCCTGGGGGCCTGCGCCGGTTCCTGCGCCACCTGTCCTCGGGTCCTGCCCGCGCCGCTCGCCTGGGCCGCCGCGAACACCTGTGCGCCCGGGTCCGCCTGCCGTTCCCTCCAGGCTCGGGTCCGGGGAGAGCTGCCCCTAGGAGGTCGAGGCCGGGATGGGCAGTCCGTGTAAGCTACTGAGGGCGTCCGGGGCCTTGGTGCCTGGGCTGGGAGGCTTCCTGTCGGGCACTGCGGGAGGAAGCACAGGGCGTCGGATCACTGCCCAGCTCTGCGCAGGGCGAGAGACACGCGGACTCTGGACGCCTTCAGAGCCAGGTCGTGCGCGCTCAACCCTCGAAGGCTCTGGAAGAGGGAAGCAGAAACTCGCGCCCTCCAGAGATTCCAAGCGTCCGTGGGCGACCCTCCCTTTCCCGCTTAGGGAGAGACTTGCAAGGGGAGCTTTGGCAAGCGGGACTCCTCGCAAGGCCAACTGCAAGCACTGACCGCTGGCCGGGTGCAATTCCCGTTGCCCTCCAACCCCCTCACCACCCACTCGGTAAAGAAAGTGAAGGGTGCAGAGGGCTGGGAAGGTTTTCAGGTCTGATGGAAACTTCCGCGGAAGGAAGCTGAACCGTAACCTCGCACGGCCCCTCCTGCGGACCCTCACCCTCCCCAGACCCGAGGCCCGCGCAAAGCTGCGAGCGGAAGTCAATGCTTTGAGTCCGCTTACACCCGCAGCTCGGAGCTGGCTGTGGGCAGGGGAAAATCGTGCGGGAAATGGGCCACCAAAGAGTTCCCTGGAGCGGCCTGGATTCCTCCGAGGTAGGAGGCAGTTGCGCTTAAAGTGAGCGGCAGACTTCGTTGTGCCCGCGAGATTCCGGGATCCAGCTGCGATCACAACTGTGGGCACAGCGCGTCCTGGGGCCTGGGGGCCTCCGGATTAAGTGACAGTGGGCTTGCCAGATCGGGCGGTATTCTGCGCCTTACTCTATTATTTAGGGGTTTGGGAAGGGGCCCAAGTTATGCTACTGGAAGCCAGAAAGTGACGCCACGATTGCGCAAGCCTGTTTTTCCTTTCCCAGCCTTGGTCCACTTTGCTTCTCCTACAGTAGGATCCGCAGTTTATTTATACCTAAAGGGGCCCATTTTCCATTTTCTTTTTTCCCCAAGTCCTACTTTAAAGGGGTAGGTTGGGGCGCCTCGATTTGGAGTAAGAGGAACCCTGGATTTTTTTTTTCTCCTACAACTTCTCTCTCCCCAGCCTCAGGCGCAACTTGCTGTTGCTGCGCGGAGCTGAGCCAACCACCTCTGTACAAAACACACACACACACAGACACACACACACAGACACACACACACAGACACACACACACAGACAACACAGACACACACACAGAGACACACACAGACACACACACACAGACACACACACAGACACACACAGACACACACACAGACACACACACACAGACACACACACACACACACACACACACACGGCTTCGTTCAGGTTTTAAAGAGGTCTAAAGACCTTCCCAGGACAGAGTGGCCTCTCTACTTTTCCCTGGCTCTCCGCGCTTTTTCCTAAACACAGTTGTGGCCGCCCAGCCAACGAGTATTCAGACCTTTTCTTTCTACCCTGGACACACACTTCAAAGTGAGGACCTGTTTAGAAAACATCTGAGGAGGAGGAGGAGGTTTCTCAGCCAAGGGACGGTTACCTTAGAGACAAGCAAGAAACTGAACCCATGAAAAATAAACACCCAGGGTGACTGCATCCCACCCTACAGGGGTGAATCCTGCTTTGTTTTTAGACCTGTCCAAGCCGTTCTTCCTCCCAGGGCCCCTCCTGCCCTCCATTCCCTCCACAGGACATGGGGCTATGTGGGTGTGCATGTCTGGGCACTCTGTGGCTAGAGGCTCGGTCAGGCTCATCTAACTGAGGGGCTAAGAACAGGGAGAGGCATTTTATAAATATTCAATTGCTATTGCAGGGCACTTTGGGACCACTGTTGAGGGGAGGCCCATGTCTGGATCAAAAGAGGCTGGGGCTGGCAGCGGCCAGGTGTGACAATGCCAGCGCCCCAGTGCTCCCTAACAAAGTCCACTTTTAGGGTCCTCCAAGAACTAATCTCCAGGCAGAGGTAATGGAGCGAAGCTGCAAGTTATCTTTAATATAAACAATACATTTTCTTTGTGCGTATGCACTATCTTATAGATTTGATTTCCAAACCTTTAGTTATTCCAGAGCCCCACGGGGAGGGATTTAAAACCCTGAGTTTTCGAGGGTCTCTGAAAATGCCCTGTAAGTACCAGCTGTCATGAGGGAACATCTGGTGGTGTCTGTCACCTAAGGGTGGAGAAGGGGAGATGGTCGTGCCTGGATGTGAAAAGACATTTGGATGTGGGTGGAGATTTCTACAATGTCAGCCTCACCAAGTAAGATTCAGTGAAACTTTTCCTGTCCTTCTCAATTCCCAAAAATTAAAGTTTCCTTTCAGGGGCTGAGAACTGTAAATCATACTTTTTGCCTACATAAAGGGAAACCCAGACTCAGTACCTTTTAAGAAATAAGAAAAAATATTAATTATAGCATTAATTAGATAACACAATCAATTAATATTTAATTAAATGTTAAATTTTCAATTTGACATTTGATTAAGTTTCACTTATGGTAACTGTTCATTTTGGAGGGCATTGATATCTATATCACCGTGTGTGTGCGTGTGTGTGTGTTCTGGGTATGTGTTCAGTGACCAAAGATAATGGTTTTTACTGAGCATTCATTGTATTAAATTGCTTTTCACTACACTGAAGAATTTTTTCTTACTGAAAAGAAATTCAGTAAAAGCTACTCTTAGTATTCTTATGAAGTGAACAATTAGTGATAGTAAATTGTCCTGTGGGACAGGTTTGTTTGAAGATATTAATTTCTTAGGAACTGATCAGAAAATAAAGGCAGTGAATCTTATTTATTTATTTGTCTTTTCAAAGATCAGTCGTGTTGGCGAGATAGATCTTCAAGTCAGCTGTTCTACCAGGGAGGAGTAAAAATCCATAACCCATGTATGTATGTAATTCTCAGGCTGTAAAAATAGATAGATAATGAATAATTATTTCTCTTTTCCTGTTGTAACACAAATGATTGCATGCCAGCTTGAGAAATCATTAATAGTGTCCCCAAGTTATCTGATTATCCTTTATTAGAAACTTTAAAGAAATTGGAGGACCACAAAATTAAATTAATTTAATAACTAGAGTAAGAAATTATTGATGTAGCTCTGAAAACAGGTGGGATATTACATAATAGAAAGCCGAGAAAATGGTAAAAAGGGACTTAAATGCCAGCGCCATTCAGTGGCTCTGTATTTCTGAAAAGGAAAGTGTCTTCCAAAGAAAATCAATCACCAGTGGGGCTAAATGCTGAAATCAGCCTCCCCACCACTCCCACCTCAAATCAGTGAGAGGTGGTTCACAATCAGAAACTGTATGTGTTACCATCGGTTCTTATCTGCACTTCGTAACTTGTGCCTAATGTAGAGCTTAAAAAGCCTCCAGGACAAAGTGGCTCTATTGGAAAACAAATGCATTCCTCTGAAGACCGTGGGTCTTTTTTCTAAGGCTTCCTTCTCCTTAGGATGAACCCAGGGAAATATTTCAAATCTGTGCTTATACTTTTTTAATTCAAAAGAACCTGCTTATTTAAGTGATGTGTGTAATGTGGTACATTTCATTTTGATTTCGATTTCAACAGACAACCTCAGTTGTTGAGCAAACAAGCCGATTAGAGGCTGAAGGTGAGCGATGAGCTCCTCTGCGACCCTTTAGCTGTCCTAAAATGTAAAGCTTATGGGAGTTCTAACTCTTAAATTTTAACATTTCCTTCATTTAAATTTTTCTATAAATGAGCAAGTGATAGTATCCTATTATTTAAATTAAATTTAAAGTTTAAAAGGGCTCTAATTCTCAATGTTTATAGATTTTCTTTACTTGGATTTGTCTGTAACCAGGCAGGTGAACATTATCCTAATATCCCAGGACATCTGTGCTCTAGGAAAAGTGGAAAACGCTTTTTCTAAAGTATTTCTCTTCCTCCATTTCACTGCTGTGGATGGCCTCTTAATTTCCTTCCTGCCCCCCAACTCTCCCCCATCCCCAATCCCCAGAGCACACCCTCCTGTGCTCAAGACTACTTGGAAAAAGCACTTTTTGCAGGGGCAGCACCAAGGAGGTTGCCCCTCCTGTCCCCTGCCTGCCCACTGCCACCTGCCACTGCGTTCACCTCTCCCAGTCCCGGGTAGGTGGAGGCAAAGCAGCTAGTAAAAATCCTTTTATAATCTGGGAACACCATGCTGTCCCCAGGTTTGCGCTTCGTCCCTTTCTATGCTGGGCCTGAGATGCTCTGGGGTGACCCTTTCCTTTCCCAGGTTGGCTGAAGTTGCAAATTTCTAGTGCTCAGAACCTAAGACCGGTCAAGTTTGAAATTAGCAAATCAAGCCATCCATTTAACAGCAGAGAAAGCAAAGACTGAAGGGCTGGAGAGCTTTTCCTAACTTAAAGGAAAAACTGGAACCCTCCTGGGCAGTGTGAAGATCTCACAGTGCTGTCACTGAAATACCTAAAATCTGTTCCGTGACTTTTCAGGAAGTGGACTTATGGAAGAGGAAGAGGAGGAGGAAGCAGAAAAAGAGACAAGAGGCCCAGCCACATTTTCCACAGGAAGAGAGACCCCCAACCACAGGAAGCTCCTGAGCCTGGAGTAAAGGACACTGGTTCACATGTCCTCCACTTTCCCACAGTGTGTATTTAAAAAAAAGAATCCAAGGGCCCTTTTTTTTTTTTTTCTGTAAGGAATCTGGAAGAAACAGATGGGCAGTGGGGCAGAGACAGAAAGGGTCCTAGGATTGAGGTCAGGGCCGCTAGCAAGCAATCTCATCGAAAGGGCTCAGGTGCCAAGATAGGTCCACAGAAAGGTGAGCCTGGAGGGTGACTGCTAGACGTGTTTCTAGACGGAGAAACCCAGAGAGAAGGAGGAATTTGCTCGGTGTCAGAACCAGATCCAAACCCATGAGTCCTGTGTGCCAGCAGGACTCCCAGGGGGACAGTCTTGAGGCCAGCCTCTCAACCTCGGGTACCTTCCTCAGGTTAACCCAGAGGAAGGGTTCCTGCCCAGGACCCACCTCTTCCCCACTGCTTTCCCTTTTCTCAGGCTCACACCCCCTCCCAGTACACTCCCTAACCCTTCCAGCATCCATCTGACCCCTCCTTGTGCTCCTCACCTTCACGGCTGGGATGCTTGAAGGTCATAGCTGCGGCGAGTTCCCCGCCGTGCACAGCTACACTGGCCCCGGGGGGCGCCAGAGGAGGGCCCTGAGCCGGCGGCCACGGCGGGCCCGGGGCGAGGTAGCCGCCGCCCGGGGCGCTGTACACGCCGTGCTGGTTGGAGGGCGGGTAGGCGCAGGCAGGGAGGAAGCCGCCCACGGCCGAGAGGGTGGAAGCCGACTGTGGGTATAGATAGAAAGGGGCCGTCAGCAGCAGAAAATCCAGCCTTCTCTAGCGCAGGCCTTTGCTGAGATGGGGGTTCTCATTCCCCTCTCCCCACGCCCAGCACCCACTGCCATCCCCATTCGTTATCCCCACGTGAGACCTGGCCTCTAAATTTCCTAGTAAGGACTCTTTGGCAAAGTGATTTCTAAGAATTCACTCAAATTGTTACAAATAACAATTCGAAGGGGTCATGGTGTTCACATTGGAATTTAGAGAAAGAAGGTTCTTGATCTGTGGGCTGGAGCTCCAGGATTCTTAGCAAAAGTATCTTGGCAAAGGCAAGTCAACCCCTCGAAAGTCAGACTCCCCCAAACTAGAGCGCTTAAGGACAGGACAGAAATATGCCTCGGGAAGACGCTTGCTGGCCAGGCCACCAAATACAACCGTCTGCCCGCCTGGAAGAATTTTGTCCTTTCTTTCTCTCTCTTTTTCCCACTGCCCCAAACCTTCCGCTTCTCTACCTAAGATCGCCTCCCTCACCTGCCTCCTGGTTACCTGAGTGTATTTGATATCTGCCTCTAAAGCAGGTTTCTCCAGTCCATTCACTGTGGGGGTGGCCGGGAAGGCCGGGCGGTTCATGCCGGCCCAGTCTTCCATCTTGGGAGAGTAAGTGGCGCCTTCGCTCCCAGCCAGAGCCCCTGCAGGGAACACAGGACTGATTAGAACGTACCTCTGAATCTGACCTGCATACATGTGGCCAACCACCCAGCTTGTATCTGAAGGCACGGCCAGGGGTCCCACAACACCTGTAGATGGCCTGACTCGGCCAGGAAGCAGAGGGCAGCAGAAGAAAGACAGCCAGGCCTGCTGCCCCCTCCTTCTAGCCTTCAACCAATTTCCCACCAGTGGGAGGCTGCTGCTGCGTCAAGGGATGGGCAGACTTGACCAAAGCAGCCGCTCCATTGTGCAGACATGGCTCCCAGAAATTTCCAAGTTCAAATCCACGCAACCTCATGAAAACTGTATGGGTGTCTCAACATCTGCACAAGCATCTGAAGGGCAGGAAGCTGCTTCTACCAGAACTGCTTCTGGAAATGCCCCAGGGTTTCCCAAAAGAACCATCAACCTTGTGGTCCTCAGGAGATGGAAGCACACAGCTGCTCTCCAGGCCCTTGCATGTGCCTGGAACCAAAGGAAAGCTCCGGATCTGTGTGCAGCTTGCCCCTCCCCCCCGTCCGGATGCCCACCATGCCATGGGAAGCTTTGGTCTCAGCGTGCTGCTCAGACTGGGTTAGAGCTACCAGGAAATACAAAGCCAGTGTGGGGCCACAGAAGCGTGGCTGCTGCTGGAGCTGAGCATTCACAGTTTCTATCCAGCCACTGCTCTTTCCTCCTGGGCTACTGTGAAGTTGCTCCTTACCCTCCTCCTAAGTCTGCTCATCTAGTATTATGCCATTCCCTGGCCAGCTACTGGCAGCTCCGGACAGTGCAAAGAATTCCAGACTGGATTCTGGCTGGATTCTTTCCCAGCCAGGCATCAAAGTTGTTCCAAACCTCCCCACCTTCCCCATCTTCCTTGTCACCCACTTGACCAACAGTTTGTTGAGCTATAAGTGCAGGTAAAGGACAAACCCTTGTGAGGGTGGCTGCAGCCCCAGCAGCCATCGCCCCAAACTCCAGGACCTGCAAAGCCACAGGGCCTTCAAGATGTAGGCCACTCAACCAACCACAAGGCCCCTTTTCCTTTAGCTCAGAAGAACCACTGGGCCTGGGAGTGGGGACAGAACCCTTGGGAAATCATGAAGGATTCTGAGAGCTAAAGAAAGGGTCTCAGAATTGCCTGAGTGGGTTTTGTTTTTGTTTTTGTTTTTGTTTTTTTCTTAGATCTGGCAACAGGAGTTTGCATACTTTTTGCAAGAATGAAAAAGCTCAATTTCAGGCCTCCAAATTTGTGGTCGGCGATTGCTCTTCCATTTGGGAAATATTTTCCATATTTGTCATAAAAAGTTCAAGATGTCCGAGGTCTCTCACAGAGGGACCCCCAGCCTCCCTGGCCAGTGTGGAACCCTCCCCTGAGCCAGAACTGGTCTCTAGAAGAGAGTGAGTGTGAGTCTTCTCCTGCAAGCCTGCCCACCCCAGGTTCTGCCCCATAGTAGAAGGCTACGGAGGCAGCCACGACTGACCTGTTTGCTCCATAAACGTCCGGATGCCCAGGATGTTGCTGACCGAGTGTGCCGAGGGCCATGAGCGCGGGATGCTGACGTGGCCCGCCGTGCCAGGGACCCCAGGGTGGCTGCCCATCTTGGTGCCCGTGGGCGACACGGGACTGGGGTAGGGGTACTGGTAGATGTGGTTGTAGGGCAGCGTAGGCTGCGACGGCGGCTGCTTACTTGCCTCGTACGGTCCAGGCTGCGCCAGGCTGCCTATCTTGTTGCGCAGGATGCGGCTGATGGAGCTCACCGAGGGCACATTGTACTTGTCACAGACACCGTCGGCCAGCAGCCGGTCGCGGATTTCCCAGGCAAAGATGCCAGGGTCTCCCTGCTTGTAGTCCCGGATGTGCTTGACCACGTTGGGAGTGGTGACGCGGGGTTTGCTGCCCCCGATGGCCCCAGGCAGGATGGAGCCTGTCTCGTTGTATCGCGCCAGGATCTTGCTCACGCAGCCGTGGGATACGCGGAGCTGCCGACTGATGTCACAGGGTCGGATGCCGAGCTGCGCCAGCTCCACAATGCGCAGGCGGATGGCGTTGGGCAGGGGGCGGCCATTGACGAACACACCGCCCAGCTGGTTCACCTCGCCGTAGGTCTGCTCTACGGATGCGCCCGAGAAGAGTGAGCAGGAAGGGGAGAAAACACCCGGCGGGTTAGCCAACGGTCCCCACGCGGGGCGAGGGACTGCCCCCAGGCGCACTTCCAAAGGTGACCTGTGGGTCCCCAGACAATTCGGAGTCCAAGGACAAACCGCCTGGGTCCGCCTCGGATTGGGCGAGGGCGTAGAGGAGCCGCTGAGTGAAGCACCGCGCGTTGTAGCCCTCCGTGCCCTTTTGAACTTTTAACGCGTCTACTTGGAACACTCCCTTCCCAGACTTGCTCAAACTGCCCCCTAAAGGCTGGGGACCCGAGGAGAATAGAGCTCCAGGACCCAGGACTGGGTCGCCCAGGGAAAGCGGAGGAGAGGGAAGGGAGGCGCGGGGACCCGACCCACCTCATCTGCCCTCCCGCGCCCTGCCTGTAGCCCGCCCCTTACCCATAGCGCGCGGGCCAGCCAGCTGCCTGGCGCCGGGGTGGCCCGGACTGGGCCCGGCGCAGTCCGGGAGAGCTCGGGCGCCGTCGCCGCCGCTGGAGAGGCATAGAGGGAGGGCGCGCGAGAGCCGGGAGCCGCGGCGGCCCGGCCGCGGGCTGGAGACGCGCTGAGTACGGCCGCCTAGCGCGCCGCCGCGCGCTCCGGGGCCTGACGCCGCCGCTGCCACCCGCTCCCAGGACACTCTCCACGCCCGCGACCCCAGGCCCAGATTGAACTTCATCCGATTGGGAGAAATTCGTCTGACCGGGAGGCTGCAGCGTGTGGAAATCAATTTGACGTGTCCTCCACGTCAATCTCGGCAGTCACGCCGGAGACGCGCGAGTTGGCAGCTCATTGGTTCCCGTCACTGAGCCCCGGCGCCCCCCTCCCCGCCCTGAAACTCTACCCCTCCTTCTGTCTTCCCCCCCCCGCCTTCCTCCACCCCCCCAACCCACTCCTCTACACACACACACACACACACACACACACACACACCTTTCCAAGCCCAGCTGGGCCTGGGACCTTCCACTGCTTCGAACCCCTTGCAGCCCCCTCCTTCCTCTGGCTCTGGGAATGATACAGAAGTCATCTCAAATTTATTAGTGTGTCAGTACTATCCCTGGTTTTCATTGGGGTTTTAGTTTTATTTCCACCACCATTAATAATAAGACAGAGAATAAAAGTTGATCATGGCAAGGTGTTTAGGGTGTGGCTGCCTCTACCTCCCCACTCCCTCGGTAGCGGCTGGGGAAGAGTGGGATCAATACCCCAGCTGGCTGGGAGTGCCAAGGTGAGCTTCCAGCGCGATGCAGGGAGCCTGGCAGGAAGGCACAAGGCAGTGTGCCGTGGAACTGATTCCTTCATGTCCCATTCCTGGCCAAGTCCTCAATCGTTCTCCCAGGAAATCCTCACAACGTTTAATAGCCAACCACTTTTGAAATAGTGGGGGTGATTTTGGCGACGTGAGAGGGGTACAGTGCAGATCCTGTCTCCTACAGCCAAGCCCAGCCATCAGAACTCATTCCTCTCCAAGAGGTGATACAGGGGCAGGAGGCAAAAGGATTCCGCCTGCTGCTACCAGGAGCAGAGACCCGGCACCCTCCGGATCCCTTAGAGATCGGCGGGAGACCAACTGCATAGTTCCAGCTCTAGGCCTGAAGGACAAGTTCTTTTCTCCCTGATAGTGGAATCCCTCACCACTCTATCCCAGGTGGCCTGGCCACGTCTTTCTCCCTGCACCTGCAGCTTCAGGAAGTCTCTGTTAAACTACACAATTATCTTTTCTCCTTCCTTTCAATGAGGTTTTACGCAGCCCTGAATTATTTGCCCCTGAAATTGAACATCAACCCATTTCTCTGTTTCTACTCTGTACCAAAACAGTTCTGAACTCCCCAACCTGTGCAGCTAACCGTGCCCCGGAGCCATGCGGGGAGGGCCAAGGCGGTGAGGTTTTGAACCTGAACTGATTTGAGGGGATCAGGACCTGAGAGTTCTGAGGTTATGGCCAGTAAGCACCAAAGGAATTGGGCTGAATGTGTAGACAAGGAAGAGGGCATAAGGGAGAAAGTGGGAACAGCCAAGGTTTCTGAGACTCTGAGCACTCCTCGAGAAATGAGAACCCCCTTTCCCCACTTCCTGCCCACCCTAAGGGTCTAGCTCTCCTGAGCCGCCCAGAGTTGAGTGTGGCGCCAGTGTCGTGACCCTGGCTAAGCCGCACAGGGACCAGATCAGCGCAGCCTGGAGAGCCAGGACTGCAGAGGCCCTGAACCGTTTCCCTCCGCTGCGGAGTCAGAGAGCATCCCTGGTTCCTAATCCACCTGTCTAAATGTATCTGTTAGGAGAGCCTGAGTCATAAATCCTGGGCTCTCTAGAGAAAGCACGCGGTGCCCAGAGGGGCTGGGGCCAGGACCGGGACCACAGGCAAGAATTACCCCTGAGGAAAGAAGAACCAGGTTTAAAAGAAGTGAACTCCTCCTCTCCGGCGGCATGGATACAGTACAGTCGCTGGTTCTGGGCGCCTCTGGGAGGTCGTGGGGACCTGCAGGAAGTTTGAGGGTCAGTGCACTGGCCGGCGAGTGCGAGAGTAGGGGCGGGAAATGTACACGACAGCTCAGGTTTGGAATATGGAACGGGGAAAGGGAAAGGTTTGGATTCGGATTAAGGTGGGCACGCCTAAGCCAGGAGTTCCGCGAAGGCACCCAGGAGAGGACTAAGCACGCACAGTATTCCGGGGCTGGGGGTGCGGGGTGCAGGGAGTGGGGATGCACCCCGCCCAGTGCTCTCCAGATATTGCGAATCTGCTAGCCTCTAATCTAGACTTTCGTCGGACGCGAGACACCAAGGAAGGTTGATTTCCAAACCTTGGAGTCTCTGAGATAAAGAAACGCCACATCCCTGCCTCAGTCCAGTGCATACCGGTGATCCGGAAAAGCAGCTAAAGCCGCGTCTTCCCCCTGTAGGTGAAGAATCAACAGGCACACTCAGATAAGAGGAAATAGAGCCGGTGGTGATGCCGGCTGGTGCGCCCAACTACCCCTTCAGGGAAACGTCCACTCCACCTCGGCTGCGGAGCTTGGAAAAGTGTTAAGGAGTCGCAGTCCAGGACAAAACCCCGCCCCCTTCCCCGGGAAGTCCGCGGGTGGCTGGGGGAGACTATAGAGGAGTGAGTTTGAGGATTGCGCACGCTGAGAGGGGGTGGTTCTCTGGGGTAGCAGAGTCCGCGGGCCCTCGACTCAGTCCCGGCCCCTTTCCCGAAGCCAGCTGCGAGCGATCGGGACCACACAGCCCTGGCTGCAGCCTTCTGCACGGTCGGGCAGAGGGAAAACCTTACAGTTTGTCGCCCCCTGTCGTCCCCCGGCCGGGCTCCGCGGGTTCCCGAGCGGCAGGCTAGGCTGGGGGAGAGGTGGCCCTAAGATGAGATTGCAGAAGGAAAAGAAACGTCTCTCGCACATCCCAGGGAGGCAGCTTAGCCCTCTCCACGGCCCGGGGACAGCTACCAGCCAGCGCTGAGCGCACAGAGGTAAAGAGCTCGCGGATTCTGCTTTTTTGCTTAGCTGGGTTTGGCACCCTATTTCAGCATGCTCTGGGCTCAGAGGGCAACAATGCGACTCTTCCACGGCCGCGGGAGCCGGTTAGCTGAGGGCGCACTCAGGAACCTGGGGCAAAACTCCTCTGCCTGGAGCCATACTCCCCGGGCAGAGGATGGATTTGAGGGTAACCCAAGGCCTCGGGCCCTCGCCCAGTTTTCCGAAGGTGGGGAAATAAAGAGAGGCAAGCACTGTACGTAAAGCGGGAATCAAAAAGATGGCTCGAAGAGGTGCCCTGCCCTTCTGGGGCCTGGGGGCTAGCAGCAAGTGGGGTTACTGGTGAGCACTCCCTTGGTACAGGCCACCTGAGTCGTGAACTCAGCACCTGAAAGTTGACACTGCTGGACTGCCAGGGGTTCTGTGACAGGGCCGCTCTTGGAGCTACAGTGGCCCCTACTTCACGTCTCTTGTGTCGCTTTGACTTTTGGTGTGTTTGTTTCGGGGAGTTAAAACGAGCAACAGGGCGGGATGTTCCGGGGAGCAGGCATTTCAAGGTCACCAGGAAAAAGTTTAAAAAGCTGATGGAAGCCCAACTTGGCATGCAAGTGCGCGTTTTGGCTCTTGCGGAAAGTAGCCGGGGGCAGAAAACACAGGTGGCACTCCCCGAGGGCCCTGGCCAGGCTTGGGCCTAACGACTAATGACGAACGCTGGTACCCACCAGCATCAGCCCACAGGGGCCGCAGGACAGGGATCCAGGGTCTTCTTCCTCACGACGTCCTAGCCTCAGACCTTAATAGATCCGCTTTTGCTCCCGCTTGACTCCTGGCTTGGCTCAGGACCTGCGCTTCTGCTGTGTTTTTAAGATCACTGAGCCGTGAGTCCTGTGGTTCAAAACCAAAGTCAAACTGAGTCTCTTAATTTTCTTAAATTTGCTTTTGAAAAAAAAAAACAAAAGGCAGCTCGGGCGACAAACGCGATTTATGCGTCAGGGTATAGTACTACGTCCCTGCTACCCACGCCCACAGTTTTGCACACAAAAAAAATCCAGCACACCACACTTAAAATTTTAAGAAGGTAATTGTCGAAAAGAGAAATGCGGAGCAGCTAGCTGCAAAGAAACTGGGAAGAATTGCTGAGCCAGATGGGGAGCTGCAAACCCTCGGGGAACGCGAACAACTAACACACCAAAAACTGGCTTGTGCAACAAAGCAACCGAACTCCTCTGGGAGTGACTGCGGTGGTGGCAGGAGTGAGGCGAGGAAGGGGAGAGGAGGACTGGGTTCTGAATCATGGAGCGCGGGGTCAGCGCGTCCTCCCTCCAGTGTGGAGCCTCAAGGATGAGGTGGGGAGTCCTTTGGGCTCTGAACCTGCCTCTCCTGACTGGGACACACAGACTTTCCAGACCCTAAATGGAAGGGTCTGTTGCGGACCCTGCCAACTGGCATTAAAACAGAGCCCCCAAGAGTGAGAAATAACGTGCTTGGCCTCGTGAACCCATTCCCGCGGCTTATTTTCATTTGGCTTGCTGCTGACCAACGTGGTCTGAAAGTTGAATCTTTGCCTGGGCGTGCACGCTGTTCGCTACCCTGGAAATGTTTATTACCGAAAGTGAGTCAGGTCAGCCGGGGTAGGTGGAGCACCGGTTCCGCTGACCCTGGCCTCTATCTGCGAGTAATGTCCTTGAAAAATCCATGGCGAGAGAAGCCAGGAAAAGTTTTTTCGTTTTCCTAAAATGAAATGAATAAACAAGAATAGGTGAGCATTCTCGGTGTGATTAACAAAACAGTGGAAGACCAGGGTTCCTCAATTCAGTTCAGAGATGTAAGAAAACAGCAAATCAGAAAACAAATTTGCTGTGAAACCCGCACTAGAAATAAACGGGGGGAATTGTGTATTGCCAAAGAAGGTCTAAGGTATTTTCTACCCTGCAACGCAGGGATCTACTACATTAATAACATTCATTTTGGAGTAGAAACATTTTAAAAGTGGCATTTGGCCGATAAAAATAAACATAAATAAAGGGTTGGTGCCCTTTGTAGAAAGAAATGGTTTCTGGAGCCTTCAGGAGGATCTGGCATTCTTGTCATTCTTTTTTTTTCTTTTTTATTGCATTTTAGGTTTTGGGGTACATGTGCAGAACATGCAAAATAGTTGCATAGGTACACACATGGCAGTGTGTTTTGCTGCCTTCCTGCTGCCCCTCACCCACATTTGGCATTTCTCCCATTCTTGGGTGTATATCCTCACTAGCCCCAAATCGAGTTCTGCAGATTGCTAGTATG